GGGTTCTAGTTACACACAGTTAAATTTATCCCACTTTTGTGTTTAAATACTTTTCCAAAAACAGTGTCAGTGGAGAAATTCGTAGACTTTTACAAATGTATTCTATAGTAGCATCGTAGTGTAGTGGTTTAGAAATATCTGAAAACACTGTATTCCCAGTTTTGCTAATGGGATGACCAACTGACCTTATTATATATAAATATATATATGTGTGTGTACATATAATTCTCAGTTATCTAAGTCTTATCCATACAGATAGATGTTTCTAGCACAGATCTCTCCAGCCTCAGAAAGCTATGAAGTGCAAGCATTCTCTTATCTTGTGAGCACATGGTATTCTTGGGCAAAACTAATTTCCTTACTCACAATCAGATAATAAGACACTTAACAGCAGGAATTGACAGGAAAATTGCGAAGTAACTGTGAGTGACAAATTGACTAAGGTGTTTAGTCTAATGAATAAAGAGGCTGGACAAAAAGCACAATCTTTATAATGCTAAAAACAAAAAAAAAGAACTGGGCATAATTGCACAGACAGGATCACTGTGTATTATCTACTAAGTGATGATAAGTCTCACAACATTCACTCTCTCTCTCTGGATTGATCTCCATAGAACTAAAATATTGTTACGACAGCGTGACTGAGTTTCTCGAATTTTCAGGGAAGCTCGAGTGTGATCAAGAGACGTTTCTTTGTTAGTATATAAGCCTGGCAGAACAAACCTGCGGGATTGAATGTATAGTTAAGCGAACAGTAGTTACGGTTTTTCGGGTAATATAAAGAGTGTGTTTTGCACTCGTAGAAAGTTATCAAGACTGTGAATCGCTGTGATATGTAGCGTGTATTATAAAAGATGTTAAGTTTAAAGTGACGAGAAAGAATAAACTGGTTTAATCAAAAAGGGACTTGTGTCGCTGAAGTTCCTCGGAAATAATTTATATCGGAAATGAACAAACAAGCAGATATGTAGCAATCTGGTGTCAGAGAGTGAGACGGAAAAGAAGAAAAAAAGATGGAAATGAGAAGTGGCAAGTCAAACTGAGACTTACATATTTGATGGCAGCAATACAAGAACAGCAAAAGAAACAAGAAGAACGAGAAAATAAACAAGAAAAGAGACTACAGCAGTGGTTGGAGGAGAAAGAAAAGAAACAAGAAGAAAGATTACAGCAGTTGTTGGAGGAAAAAGAAAAAAAACAAGAAGAACGAGAAAATAAACAAGAAGAGAGACTACAGCAGTGGTTGGAAGAAAAAGAAAAGAAACAAGAAGAGAGGCTACAGCAGTGGTTGGAAGGGAAAGAAAATAAACAAGAAGAGAGACTACAGCAGTGGCAAGAAAACCAGCACCGGTGGCAACTGGAACAAGAAAAGAAACAAGAAGAAAGTCTCCAACAGTTGAGAGAGAGCCAGCATACACAAATTGGAAAAGATTAGTAAATTTCAAAGTGAATTAAATACATTAAAGGACTATTTACTGTCTTTTACACAGGG